TGTCGCGGGCGCCGCCACTAGAATGGTTGCCGGTCTCAATTCCGTGGACTACGAAACGCGTCTCGCGATGCTTGATCTCGTTCCGCTGGAGTACCCTCGCCTCCGAGGGGACCTAATTCTTAATTATGGCCCTGTTTGACAAAGCTTGACAAACAGGTTTTCCACTGTTGAACCTGCAAATACACGGCAAGGGGATGATAGGAAGAATTTCAGGCTCGCACATTCATTAGGCGAAATTTTTTCTCACTTTAGAGTAGTAGCTGCGTGGAATCACCTTCCTCCGTCGGTTGTCCACGCTCTTTCTGGAACCCAGTTCTAATCGCTACTAGACATTTATTTAGTTGAATCCTCGCACTGTCCAGCACACTACCCCGCGCTGAGAACATAAAGATCAGTGCTGCACCTTTTTTTACTTGTGCCTTTCAGGTGAACAACAGCCGCTGAAAGACAAGAACAAAACTACCCGGAAATTTGGGCAAAAGCCTCGATCCTGTGTATCAATCCGTGAATCAGCAAATGGCCTTGGAACTCCAGTACTTCAAATCGTCTGGGGAATGTAGATGTGGACTTGAGAGAACGTCCGAAAGACGGCTGACTTGGATCAGAAACAGGATTAGTTCAACAACCGAGGCTTCAAAAACTTCGATGGGGACCAGGTTGGTGGACTGTTTACCCCTCCGTTATTCTCTTTTATTCTCAAAACGTCTACAATAGGTAGATAACAAGTTGAAGCCGGAATTTCGTTTTGAATGTTGCACTTATGATAGAATTGCAAAATTTTTCAATCAAATTTCCCAGCATTTTCGCGAGATCACATTACTGATAAATCTCAGTAAACGCTGAATTCGCTTCCGGCATAAAATTTTGACTCAGCTCTTCATGCTGACCTTCTAATTGGCTCCTCGTAGGTGCAGGATTTTTATTGGCCTCACCTTTTTTGTGGTGGTGTATGCTCCCAGTGCATCTTCTGAAAACGAGGTCCAGAAAGTTCCTGAGACACACAACTTCAGAAGATTTGGAAGACAAACTGAATTTTCGTGAGGAACGCAGCCACTTTAAATCACAAATCCATCAACTCAACGTGGGATGAACAGCCTATGGTGCTAAGCCACGCAGAAGAACGATTAGTGTTTTAATGCATTAATTAAGCGCGCGAGACACTGACACATACAAACCAATGACCTTCTCAAACAGAAGTGGGAAACCCACGAGTATCCCAATGCCGACAATTGAAACCTTCAAGGAACACTATGCGAGACTGCATTCCGCCCCAGAGACCTCATTACAACCTCTGTTGGTAAGGGGATATTATGAACAACCCCTAACCAGCTTGATCTTCCCAGTGAAGGGTGTTTGCGAATCCTCACATAAGATAAAGCACTTGAGCAGGCCATATGAGGTCCACCCGATGGTCGTGAAGAAAGCATCACTCAGCTTGACAACACCCAAAAGCTTCAAACCCTTTCTGCCTGGTGTTTCGACAGTCGCTTGACGGAGGCGACCTTTTTTCTTCTTGTAAATGAGCCACTGTCAGGGCAACACACAAACCAAGTGACCGTTTATTTCGTTGAAGCTACAGACGTAATGTCGTCTATGGCGAACCGTGCAGGGTGATTGAACATTCCGAAGCGGGTTAATCCAAATCACCTAATTACCAACGACTTTATATTCCTGGCATAAAACGGATCACTCACCAGCCCGTCTTGCTTGACGAGCGTGCTCGTATTTCTGAACAGCTTAACCCAGGCCAGAGACGAAGGATTCATAAAGGGCGTCATACTTTTTGAATTTTCCTATGTATTTCGTCGAGTTCTACTCGTTCCATTGCCTCACAAACTCAAGTTCTATAGGTTTCAGCGAGGAATTCCACACTGGCTTCCCCTCCGACATTCTGAGTAATAGTCGGATCAAATCACTTCTTCTGCACCGGTCTCCAATGAATATCCACAAGTTTCCGTCTTAAGACCATCCCTATTTTGATCTACATCAATGAGATTCGGGATGTGTGTTTAACTCCATGTTCTTTTGGCGGACGCTGTAAAGTATTAAAGTTCTAACGCCGATGCCTGCCAGCGGCTAGAGGCACAATGCATTTTTCTGCAAAACCCCTGCGAGCGAAATAAAAGCTTTAACGTCAAAATGTTGCACTTCTTTGCGTATATGCGTAGACTGAGAACCATCCTCACCTGCCGTCACTTTTTTGCGATTTGTTTTAATCGATCTCTTGTGAGAATTATTGGCACACATTCGGCTTTGAACTTCGTCTGCTATGGCTTCGGAAGTGGCTTTCTTTGATAAATTTGTGGATGTATCGTTTTTATCCTTCACGGCATTTGAGAAGACCTTAAATGAATACGTGAAGGATAACAACACTATTTTGCGTTACGAATGGGTGTATTACAAATACAGCAGGCGCCCTCCAAGACCAACGGAAATCCGTGGAATCCGAAGAAGTTAGTAAGCCGAGCGTATTTTCTAATAAAAAAGTACGCGAAGCAACAGCTGTCCAGTGCATATTTTGTCTACGGAGGCAAAGGAACCAACTGGCAGTGACGTCTTATTTTCTGGGACACAACCACAAACTGTCAAAGTTTCTTTACGATCGGCTTCCAGTCAATCGACGCTTAACCGAAGACGAGTTGGGCA